CACGTATTTTCCACATTCTCGGTTTTGCTTACTGTATCTTTCTGGCAGGTTTCCAGTTATTGTTTTTAGGGGTATAAAATAACATAAGTAGGATTATTAAGGAAATCATTTTTAGTTATATATATATATATATATATATATAATATATATATATATATATACCTATATAGTTATATAGGTATTAAACTATTAAAAACATTGTGGTATATATTAATATGTATCATTTAAAAAAGCTATTAAGTAACAATATCTCATAATAGGTCTTTACCATGATTTTGCAGTAGTGATGTATGTAAATGATATTCTGAAATTTCAGCCACAATTGTCATATGACATTAAAATTCAAATTCTTTGTCAGTGAAGTCATAGGTACTGCTAGTATTACTATAGTTAATTGCCTACGTTCATAATTGAAGGACTATTAAACTTTAGTTACATGTTACTGAAATCAGGATGTATTTTTTTCACATCCAATTTCATAGATTCCCTAGAATATTGTCGTGTACCTGGTCAATGGACATGTATTAAAAACCTTGTAGCCCTATCTTTTTTGGCAAGACTATTTCATATACACAGTGAACTGCCATCAGGATGTGCATAATGTTTGTGTGCCCTTTTTGTTAAACTGTTTTAGGAGTTATTGAGGTTTATTGACTAAATTTCATTATTTTATTAGGGGTTGTAAAATGATATTCTGTTTCTGTCATTCCATTTTTATTTGTTATCCACATATTTCTACAAACTCCCTGTCATCAACTCATTACCCTGGGGTGTCATTTCTACAGGAAGGGCACGAAAATGCTTGCTTTATTCACAGGATTAAATAATTAATGGGTCATCCTCCAAAGATGACCAATGAGTTTTATTTTTTTTTTAATGTAAGTATTGCTATTAACCCATGGATTTAAACATGTTGGAGGTATTTCAACCCATTGCAGTTATTGTTATGGGTTACCAGAATATCTTTTTGTCCCGATTCCACTAGCCTTTGATAGGTTTCTTGTCATTTTTTTGTGACAAAGCAGTCCAGGCTGATTTTGTACATTTTTTGCCTCAGGTTGGAAATCAGCTATTCGCCATCATCCTCATGCTTTGTGGTAGGCATAGTACTTAGTTGCCATATTCTAGGCACTGGGAGTTTTCATGTTTGTTGCTTGGTTGTTGTTACAGGGCTTTTAAGTGGGCAGAGATAGGAAATAAGTATTTAAAAAAATAAAATGCCTATGAGTTCGAACTTTCAATAAAGTTTGGGACTCTCAGGTTTTTAACTTAACCCCTTTAATCTTTCATCTTCATCTTCTTTTTCCTGTGCCCAAAATGAATATATCAATGAAATTTATTTGCTTTATTCCACAGTAAACACACATAGTATCAAAATAATATCAACACTACTGCCAAGCAGTTCAAGATATTTTACAGTTCTTATTGTTCCTGTGGTATACTCTAGTAGGAATGTATTGTCAAATTAGTGTGTTTTAGAGTCACTTGAAATAATCCTCTCCATTTGGTTTTGTTACCAGTTTAAAAGATCTTTAAGTTCATTTAAAATTTTGTTTTTTATTTTAGATGTGGTTTTTTAAATCTAATTTTTGTTTTATAATTATGTAAAATATTTACATGGCTCTTAAGACAAATATAGAAAACAAGGTATATTTAGACATGCATTGTTTACTTTTGTGACCTGTAGATTACTTTAAAAACAGTTTTTGTTTTATCTTTCCATTTAAAATATTAACAAATATAAGTCAGTGTTAGCATTCCATACCCTTTTTCTCCACATTTGCTTCTTTTCTAAGGATATCCTGCAGTCATTTTATCAGTGTATAGAAATATTTGCCTTGCTATTTATGGCTCTGTGTTTATTCAGCTAGTCCCCTATTGTTAGACACTCAGTTTTTTTCTTTAGTCTTTTATAAATAGTCCTGCCATGAATAGTGTGTATATGGGTCTTTTATGTTTTTACCAGAGTATCTTTGGAATATATTCCTGGAAGTAATATTGATAGAAATTGCCTCCTTACCCCCACCCCTGCCCCAGTAAGGATTGTACCATTTTGCATTTTTACCAGCAATAGTCAGAAGTACCGTTGAGCTCTTTGAAATGTCAAAAAGAGCTCCTGAACAGCCCATGGATTTCTAGCTGAGAGACCTCAGAATTGGAAGCACTGCTCAAAGCCTTCCTACTTAGTGTGGTCCATGGACCGGCAGCCCTGGCATCCCCTAAGAGCTGGTTTGAAATGCAAAATCTCAGGCTTCCCTCCAAACCTGCAGAATCAGCACATGCAATTTGGCAATTGTTCAGGCGATTTGTAACACATTAAGATTTGAGAAGCACTGGTTTAGAGCTGTGCTCTTCAATACCGTAGCCATGAGCCACATGTGGCTATTTAAATTAAAATGAATTACAGCGAAATAAAGTGAAAAATACAGGTCTTCATTCACGCCACTAGCTGCATTCCAAGTGCTCAAGAGCCACCTGTCCAGCATTTCCATCACTGCAGAAACTTCTGTTGCATGATGCTGGGCCAGGCTACACTGTTCAGTATGGTAGCCTCTGGCGTTATAATATGGCTACTTCCATTTAAGTTGAAGTTACATAATATTAAAAATTCAGTTCTTCATTAACATTAGTCCTATTTCAAGTGCTGAATTGCTGCCTGTGGCTAGAGGCTACTGTAATGGATGGTGCATATACATAACAAGTATTTCCATCAACTCAGGAAGTTCTGTTGGGCAGCTCTGGTTTCCAAGAGGCTGGGTGAGCCAGAGGAAGGACGGAAGGAAAATAAATTCACTGAATGCCTAAGGTAGTAGATAATTTTACACAGGTTACATCCATTGATCCTTAAACCCATACATGTAGTATTACACCCATTATAAAACAAAAGAAACAGTTTTTGAGAGCAGCTAACTAACTTACTCAACTTTGTAACACAAATAAGGGGTGGAGTTAGGTCCTCTGACTCAGAGTCCAGGGTTCTTTCCACCGTGTTCACTGAGAATACTCCATTCTCAAAGTCCATGTCTGGGTGCAGTCTCTGTTAGCCTTTTACAAAATAAAACATGATACAAATCATTGTTTTCACTTGCCTGCACCTGTTTATTTTCTCTTTCATGTTTCAAATTTAAGTCTAGACCTCAGTTTTATCTAATCCCTGAGCTCATATTCATTCCACTCTAACATTCCTTGAGTTTACTTCTAAGTGTCTCCTATCTATAATATTTGCCTACCTTGCATTTTAACATTATGACATCTTAGTAATTCACTGTGGCATCTATTCCTTAATTTAAAAACATTTAACGTTTTATTTACTAGAATAAATAGGACATAACCCAGTGGGGAAAAGAAACACACATTTCCTTCCTTTTCTTGCTTGCCTTCTTTTAAGGTAATAATATATATTACTACATATTCTATTCTTTGCAGTTTGGCTTTCTTAGCCACTTTGAGTTTTGACTATGCCTTCATTACATCAGAATGTGGGTTCTTCCAAACTGCTAGCTGTATATGCTTATTAGAATTAGATAATACATTAATGGCTAAATTTTTCAACCATAGAAATGTAGATACAGAAGGAATATATAACAGGTCATCTAGGCTGCTTCTCACTGTATGAAGAAAAACTGCATTTATTTTCTGGCTTGCTTCTAATAGTAATAGAATAGCTCTAGTAATAGATACTGGATAATCTCTGTGCTAAATGTGAGGATTTTGTCTAAATGAATTTTTCTTGTCAAATTTGTAATAGGATTTTTATAGAAGTGCTGGGAGTTATTATCTTGTACTAGGTATTTATAGGTGACAGATGTGATGGATTTTTAAATTTCCCCAATGAAGCTATGCTCCACAGAAGTCTTCTATCTCTAATAGTAAATCCTGCCTTTAGCCGACAATATGTAACCTAGCAGCCCAGATTTATTGAGACATAAAGTGAAGAAAAATGTGTGATTTGCATGCAAACAATGCATTTTATGAGTCATTTGAAACTCTTTATTTCTTTAAATAAAGGGGAGAGAATAATTCAGTCATTTGCCATCTTCACTGCATATTAGACTTAGTTAGGGGGCTTTTAAAATGGACTGATACTTGGACCCTAACTCTTAAGAATCTGATTCAACTGATTTGGGCTGGGATCAGTAATTTTTTAAATCCCCCAATGAATTTGTAAATATACAGCTAAGTAGAGAGGACTGCTGGTCTCACTGGATATCGCAAATGAATAAGGTCTAAAGAAATGAATCAGTCCTGTCATTGTGTCTCATGTACATATTATGTAAAACTACTGTCTGAATTAGGCAAAAACTCATTTTACGGCCTTTCCTTCATTCCTGTGTCTTCTGGAAATTGTTCACCTTTCTGGTCTGGGATTGAGTGTCTTATCCTCTGTGAACCTTCTCCAGGCAGTCTTGACCCTTGCTTCTCCTTGGCCACATACCCAACACAGTTTTGACACTTTCCCATTTTACTGGGGTTCCATATTGTGAGGTCTGTCTCCTTTACTAGATAGAAAGTTCCTTAGCATGTTCAACAATGTCAAATGTCCTTTAAACAGTTATGCGTACCAGGCACTTTGTTGGTCAGAGAGGATACAATGTCCCTGTCCTCTTGGAGTAGAGAGGAAGAACAAGCAGTGTGGTAAGTACTAGGATCATGGAACATCGTATTTTTTTAGGGTACACAGCACGAGCCCCTTGAACTGATCTGGGTACAATAGGGTCTGAGACTGGGAAATACATGGGTCTTTTAAATTCTAAATCCCTTTTGCTTGTCACATACTAGGCACCCAACAAACTCCAGTGAATATATGACTGAAGAGCTTACTGACTGAATATGCATAAAAGAAGATAGAGTTTCATTAGAAAGTGTGTACATGAGTATGTTTCAGAAAAGAAGCAATGTTAAGATATGTACTTCAGGTTTTCTGGAAAAAAGATAGGGGAAATAAAATGCCTTAAAAACCTTTCCTTCTTTCAATCCTTAAATTCATACAGTATATCCAAATAGCTGCACAATGGCAATATAATAGCCAATGAGGTTTATCTGAGGCACAATTATTGCTAATTGAAAACTTTTCCCAAATAGTAATGTGGTCAGAAGTGACCTTACTCAGTCTATGTTCCCCCTGTTTCTGACCCCTACCCCAGTAACCATAACTCTTGTTTGCTCTGCTTTCTGGCAGCCTGGCCTCCACAGCGGGAAGCCACCTTGGGAAACAAGTCTCTGAGTTGGACCGTATCCTGCCATTGAAGTTTGCTTCAGTGCAGGTTCCGTTACAAAACCTGGGACCGGATATAGCCCATGGTTAGGTACACGGGCCTCCGGCAGCTGCCCTTAGAGAAGAGCAGGTTTTGTCACGGTGGGGGGAGTCCCTGTGTTCTGCTCAGAGTGTATAGGGACTCGGACCTTGTGGGGAGATGCAGATGCTGCATAGGAGGCCCTAAGTAACAGAAATCGCTTTGAGGCCCTTGGCGTCTCTCGCTGCAAGTCTGCCGTTCTCTCCTTTCTCCCTTCGTTCAACCTCCGCCCTGCTTCGGCTTGTCTCCCTCTTGCTCTCTGGCTCTTCCTTTATAGAGGAGGTCATTATGATTTGGAGCCAAGAGAAGTGCTTTCCTGTAACTTTAAATCTCCATACTCAACTTGTGACTTTTTTTTTTTAGAAAATGGTTATACTTTATAGTTGTTGGAGGACAGCTTGCTTAACTTTACTATTTTAGAATACAAATGTGAGCTTACTAGAGGAATGTTGTCAATTTGTGAACAGGGCTTAGTGCTTCCACACTTCTTATTCTCACTCCAAATTTTTAATTGCTCTTGAGTCCATTATGGGATGTGAAAAATGTTCTGAATTTGATTAGGTTATTACTACTTGATTAGCTACTGATGCCCTGTACTTTGGCCATCCAGTGTCCTCCTGACGAACAGAGAAGCAGTGTTAATATTGGTATATTGCAAAGAAATCAGGTTAGACTCCTTTTTTGCTGACAGCAAGGTGAGGTGCAAAAATCTTTTGACAAAGAGGTTTTCTAATAAAAGTGCGTTTGTAAAATCGCGGTGAGGGTGAAGAGCAGAATGTGGGGAAAGGAGAGTGAGAAGGAAGAGATGGAAGGTAAGAAGATACCTACTGTGTGGGATGCCCCTCTTATTATCCCAAGACCTTGTGCTCTAGGGAGCGCAGCAAGTGTTTAATGGTCAGAAAATTTGGGCATTGACTCTGCTTCTCTGTGATCTTAGGAAAAACTTTTCTCTCTCCTGGACCACAGTCTCTTCAACTTACAGAAGTGGGCATTAGTACCAAAGTTGTGTCATTCTGAGACTTTCTCCCAGGGAAGAAAGAAGTTTCCTTTTAGCAGATTTGAACCCCCTCATCTAGTCATTTAATAGCTCGAGCACTGATGTCCTCAGCCTTTTACTATCTACATGATTGTGGGTGAATTATGGAGCCACATGGAGTCTCATCTGGAGCAGGACAGCAGTAATACTTTCCTTGGGCTTGCAGTGAGGATTGTGTTGAGCATGTGGGCCAGAATGATACCAGCTGAACAATGACACACAGGAAAATTGGAACCATTTCCTTGGCCAGGCACCCCACCCTACATGATTCCTGAAGGAAGTATGTGCCTGGGGACAAGACACAGAACAAATGCCCATTTCACTCTCTGGCTCTGGCCCCCGGCTCCTGTAGACTCCTGGGGCACCGTACAAGACCCAGTGGTGAACTTGTTTTGTCTAGGATAGGGTAGCCTAATCCAGAAGCAGTGCCTCCTTCAGGAAGAAGTGAGCACAAGAGGAAGAGGGAGCAATCGCTGGATACAGTTTGCTTCCTCAGCCTGGGCTGGGCAGTGCATCCCTAGAAAGAAGACCACCTCTGGGAGCGAGCCCTTTCCCCTCTGCTCACCTGGATGAAAACTTCCCTCAATAGCCTAAGGAAATGTCTTTGTACCTGGCTAGCTCTGATAACATTCCTCTCTCTTGAAGAGTGGAGATTTCTTCAGTTCCTTCCTTTGGAGAGTAACAGAGTAAACTACACGATGTCATATGCCCATTTAAAGAGCAATCCAGCCAAACAAGTAACATTGAAAATGTTTATGCCTTGAGATCAACAATTCAACTCTTAGATAAATTTCCAGAGCAAATGATTCCTTTAAACTTTATGACACAAACAGAAAGGTTTGTAGGGCACTCTGAGTTCACTGCTTCTAGTTCACTGCTATGGGTAGTGTCCATCAGGCCATCCTGAGTGCTGAGGAGATTATGCCTTAGCACATGAGTAACTCATTTGCACCAGTTTGCTAAAAACTAGAAAAACTCTTAGGTATGTACATCAGGAGATACGCAAGAATGTTTGTAGAGGCATTGCTCATAAGAGAAAAAAAAATTGAAATACAACCTAAGTATCAGCAGGGATGGATAAATAAAGTGATACATTCATGTACTGGAGTGTTACACAGAAATGGAAGGGAATGAACTGAAACTAATGTATCAGTATGGATGACTCTCGTGATTTTGATCAAAATAGCAGGTTGCAAAAGTATACATACAGTATGATGCTATTTATATAAAATTTAAAACAAACATTGTTATTTATTTCTTAGGAATATTTAAATATTATTAAACATATAGAAATGCATGGAATGATAAACACTGAGTTCTGGAAAGTGGTTGCTTTGGGAGGCTGAGATTGCAGAGAACACAATGGGGATTTGTTAATACTGCCAATATTTTGTTTCTTAAGCTGCCTAGCAGATAGATGAACACACATTGGTTGTATAATATACTTTGTTATATTTTAAATATCCTATAAGAAGTTTTAGAAATTAAGAATTAAAGCTGTGAGAGAGTAGCCCAACGTGAGGCTGGAGAGCTGGGCAGGGGTCAGACGGGCCGTTGCCTGGTAGGCCATTTTAGAGTTTGGCTTTCATCTGAGGGCAGAGGGGAGCCGCCAGGAGGCTTCAGGCTTGGGAATGATCCCATCCCAGCAGACTGACATTCAGAATGCAGAGTCCTGGGCAGTGCAGAAATTGGATTTGTGGGGATTGGAGAGGGTGGAGCAGGAAGAGCAGTTAGAAGAAATTTGCTGCAGTCCAAACTGTGGGGCGCTTCCTCCTCGAAATGCCACCTTCTGTTGCTTCCAGAGTGTTCTTCCTCCCTTTTCTCTTCCTTTCTGCCCATCTCTGATTCCTCTTCCAGGCCTTTAAGTGTTTCTTTTTTCCCTTCTTTTCTTTTCAGTGTTTAGGTGTGTTTTAGTAATCTCCGTTACATCCCAGTTTCAGTTGCCACCTTTATGCTCATCATTCCCATATTTATTTCTCCAACCCAGTCCTTTTTCCCAGTTCCAAACTGCCTACTGGATATTTCTGCTTGACTGTCTTATAATTAAAATCCTGCATGTCCCAAATGGAGTTATTTTCCTTTCCAAATGTGCCTTTTCCTCCTACCTTTGGGATCTTGATTAACCATATTGCTATCTAAGTGTCTGATCCACAAAACCTGGTTTTCTTCTGACTCCTGTGTTTCTGTCAACCTACGTCTTTAACTGGTTTCCATGTTAGGAATTAAGGGTAAGGTTTTGGTGCTAATGTGCGGTGACATTGGTGCCATGACGTATTTAGGAACCTAGGAATGCTCAGTTCTTGCCTTGCTGATCACTTCAGCCCTCTGTTTGGAAGGTTTCAATTATCTCACCCCCAGCAAGATAAGATATCAACTATAGAGCATTGCAGATATAAGGCCTCGATCGCTCTGGCTTCTGTTCACTTTTCCGTCCTCACCTGTTGCTGTTCTTCTCTCCTGCACTCCTCTGTGCTGCAGCTCTACCTGCCCACTGAAACCCGGTGTGTGCCATGTTGCTGTAGGGCACTGTGCCTTGGCATATGCTAGTCCTTCTGCTTGGAATGCCTTTCCCTACTGTGGCTGTCTCGTAAACTCTGTAAGTTTTTTAGTTGGCCCATTTTTGCACCTATTTACTAGTTCACCTGCCTCCCTGCCCCCAGCAGTCTCCGAGTGTCCTAGGAACAGAGTGCCTATTCAGGTTGTATCTTCATAGCCTCGCACATGGTAGATGCTCTTAAAGTATATCTAGGTTTGTCTCACCCAGCGAACTTCCCCTTTCTCTGGGATTGTTTGAGGTTAGTTGGAAATTATTGAAACAAACATTCCAGAGGAACAAATGCATTGCAAACTCTAAGAACAGACATTCTGTGTCTTCCAAAGTTTTGGTATTTTCTACTTTGCTTACAGCAACTCTGGAAGGAAGTATTTATATAGAGAACATTTTAAACAAAAGTTGCAATGTTATCAATCCTGGTCCCTAACCCTTTCAGGAATTGCCCATTTTCACCATCTCTTTTTAATTTATTTTTTCTTAATCTTCAAATTTTCACTCATATTGTCTCCTGCTCATCTCCCAAACATGTTTAAGTTTCCTTGACCCTTTAATAAGATAATACCATCACCACTACTGCTTAAAAACCTGTCCTCAGTACTGCTTATTCTTCAAACTCTTCCCCTTTCTTAGTCTCCTTTTCATAATTAAAAAACAAAAAAAGATCTTTGTCCATTTACATTCACTCAACAAATATTTAATGAATGACAAAAAGCCAGGCAGTGAATATGTAATGGAGAGCAAAAGAGGTATGGTCTAACTTTCTGAAGTTCAGTTTCAACCTTGTACTTGTTATCCATTGCTATACAACTGATCACCACAAATTTATTGACTTAAAACAACACACTTTTATTTCTCACAGTCTTTATGGATCAGGCATCTGGGCATGCCTGGCGTAGCTCTGACCTCTGAGCCAGGGTCTCTTACAAGGCTGCAGTCATGGGGTCAGCCAGGTCGGAGTTTCACCTGAAGCCTCACTGAGGAGCCATGTGCTCCCAAGCGCGTGCTAATGCCGGCGGGTTCACGTTCTGGCGGACTCTCACACTGAGGGCCTCAGTTTCTTGATGGTTCTTGGCCAGAGGCAGCTTCAGTTCCTTGCCACCCAGGCCTCTCTTTATGGCAGCCTGTCTCATCAGAGCCAGCAAGGAAGAGAACTAATAGAGTTGATTAGCAAGGTGGTAGTTATAACCTTATGTAATGGATTCATGGAAATGATATCCCATTGCTTTTATTGTATTTTAATGGTTACAAGCGAGTCACAGATCC